CCACTTGAGTCACTCCACCAGCTTTGGCCTTGAAATCTTGATCCTCCTGCCTCAGTGTCCTGGGTGCTAGGTTTATACTCAGCAAACTAAAAGGTCTTTTTGTTTTGTGGTACTGAGGTTTGAACTCCACCTACAACCTTGAGTCACTCCACCAGTCCTTTTCTGTGATGGGTTTGAGATAGGGTCTTGCGCACAAATTTCCTGGGCTAGTTTCAAACCGAAATCCTCCTGATCTCTGCCTCCTGAGTAGCTAGGATTACAGGCGTGAGCCATTGGTGCCTGGCTAAAAGGACTTCTTAAAAATGGAAGAGCAAGAGCTGGTGGAGTGGCTCAAGTGGTAAAGTGCCTGCTAGAAAACACTAGGCTCTGAGTTCAAAACCTACTACTGTTTTAAAAAAAAAAGGATAAAACAGGTTAACAAAAGTGTGTATCCATTCAATAGCAGATCCATAGAGTAAACAGATTACACATGCCTGATAAGGAAAATGCTTCCAATGACCAGATGAACTGTAAACAAAGCCTTAAACTACCCCTTGTTCTTCTTATACAGTTGTATAATATGGAGTAAAACAACTGAGTTAACTGGATATTCTAATTTTATAAATCTAGTATGTCTCTGAGAAATTGGATTCAGAATGTTGAAAAAGATATACAAAAATATAAGGCAGAAAAAAAATAAGAAAAACTCTCAACTGTTGATTTTGAATTGAAAGCAACAGTAGAGACGAAGATGTATCTCAACAAGAAACATGTGACTTAAAATCTATGCACCAAAGGGGTCTAAAGACAACACCATAGCACTATCTAGGGCTTAGATTTTGGTCTTGCAATGCCATTTCCCACTAAAAGGAAGGGTTTTTGTTTTGTTCCTTTTTTTCCTGGAAATAGTTAAGTCCAGGTTTGAAACAGGAATTATAAAGTAAGTCTGGAACTTATACTAGATAGCAAGGAAGTTATCAAATACTACTGAACTTATATCAGGACTTATGAGCAAACTCTGAACAGAGCCTGACTGGCCAAAAGTAAAGACAATTCATATACCACTATGTCTAATAATTGCAATGAATCACTGAAACACATGTAATATGTTTAATTTAGTGATCATGACCCTAAAAATACTAAAAGCCCACTTCACTGGTCATGTTTGGAGGTTGCTCATTTTGGAAAATGAACATTTCTGTTTTTGTAGGTATTTCAGGTATGATGTAAAGGCATGGCAAAATTAAAATACCATTTTAAAAAAATGCTCACCCTCTCTAGCAATAAAGGAAATGCAAATTAAAACCACACTAAGATTCCACCTCACCCCTGTTAGAATAGCCATCATTAGCAACACCACTAACAACAGGTGTTGGCAAGGATGCAGGGAAAAAAGGAACCCTCTTACACTGCTGGTGGAAATGTAAACTAGTACAACCACTCTGGAAAAAATTTGGAGGCTACTTAAAAAGCTAAACATTGATCTACCATATGATCCAGCAATACCACTCTTGGGGATATACTCAGAAGACTGTGACACAGGTTACTCCAGAGACACCTGCACACCCATGTTTACTGCAGCACTATTCACAATAGACAAGTTATGTAAACAGCGAAGATGCCCCACTACTGACGAATGGATTAAGAAAATGTGGTATTTATTCACAGTGGAATTTTATGCAGCCATGAAGAACAAAATGTTATCATTCGCTGGTAAATAGATGGAATTGGAGAACATCATTCTGAGTGAGGTTAGCCTGGCCCAAAAGACCAAAAATCGTATGTTCTCCCTCATATGCGGATATTACATCAAGGGCAAACACAACAAGGGGATTGGACTTTGATCACATGATAAAGTGAGAGCACACAAGGGAGGTATGAGGATAGGTAAGACACCTCAAAAACTAGATAGCATTTGTTGCCCTCAACGCAGAGAAACTAAAGCAGATACTTTAAAGCAACTGAGGCCAATAGGAGAAGGAGACCAGGAACTAGAAAAAAGGTTAGTTCGAGAAAAATTAATTTAGAAGGTAACACACATGCACAGGAAATCAATGCAAGTCAATTCCCTGTATAGCTATCCTTATCTCAACTAGCAAAAACCCTTGGTCCTTCCTATTACTGCTTATACTCTCTCCTCAGCAAAATTAGAGATAAGGGCAAAATAGTTTCTTCCAGGTAGCAAGGGGGTGCTGGGGCGAGGGAGGGGGCGGGGGGGGGTAGGAGAGGACGTGGGGGAAGGGGGGAGAAATGACCCAAACAATGTATGCACATATGAATAAAATAAAAATTAAAAAATAAAATAAAATACCATTTTACAACCCTTGAGGATTTGCTGGATTCAAGCACTGTGCTTCAATAGCTGTAACAGCTAGCCAGGTGTGATAAAAGCATACACAAGGTTTTGCCACAGTGAATCCAATCGCACTGTTAGATTCATTCCCATTCCTAGTTAACACAAAATATAAAGCTAGAACTATTAAAATAGAAATATTAAAATAGGTAAGCATTTATCCCTTTGAATACCTGGGTATAAGTTGTCATGACCTTGCATTAGACACTGATTTCTTAGATATGATACTAAAGGAACAAATAACCAAAAATAAATACTTCATCAAAATTAAAAACTCGTGTTCAGGAGCCAGTGGCTCCCACCTGTAATCCCAGCTACTCAGGAGGCAGAGATCAGGAGGATTGCAGTTCAAAGCCAGCAAGCGCAAATTGTTCTTGAGAAAAACACCCAACACAGAAAAGGGTGGGTGGAATGGCTCAGGTGGTAGAGCACCTGCCTAGAAAGCAAGAGGCCCTGAGTTGAAAACCACAGATTGATTGCTTTTGGATGAAATGTCTAGAATAGGCAAATCTATGCACACATAGTGACTGCCTACAGTTGGGGAGAAAGGAATAGGGAATTAACTACCAATGGTATATATGGCTTTTGGGGGGGAGGGGTGATGACAGTACTCAGGAATTAGATTGTGGTAGCTGCCGTACACGATGATATACTAGACCCCACTGAATTGTATGCTTTAACATGGTGAATTTTGTGGTATGCTTCTGTCACAAGAGGGAAGAGTATACACAATAGTGTCACGTTACAATGAAGGTGAGGTCTACAGGCCACAGGATATGTGTGTAAGGCTGTCCACCCAACAGCCCTCTTTTTCTCTACATCATCCTAATTCTAATGACCCTGATTGGTATAAGCAGATTATGAGGTTCCATCCCTTCTGCTATGACTGGCTTGGGAATGAGCAGGCCATGTAGTTCTGATGAAACACAGCTGCTGAGGGTCTTTCTGGAAAAAGATCTCATTATTCTCATGAAAACAATCCTGCCTCTGGACAAAAGGCCTGTCATTATGCCTGGGAGGCCAAGGGATTGGACAATGTGCCAAGGGCAGCAGAATAGGAAGAAATTCTTGGGTCTATAGTGTCAACCCACCTGAGGGCTTAATCTTTTTTGGGGAAGTTGGGGAGTTGATACTAGAGTTTGAACTCATAGCCTTGTGTTTGCTAGGTTAAGTCCTCTGGCTACTTGAGCCATTTTTCTAGTCCCCTCGCACCCTCCCTTCCCCACTGTTTAAGCCATGATTTTACTACATTTCTTACTTACAGCCCACAGTGTCCTAATGCAGATAACTGGTGACTCTTCCCAAGATTGGTTAGAACCAGCTTGGAGACAGGGCTGTAAAAGGGTCACTCATATATCTATGTCCAGCTTTAGTTTAGGACAGGCCTGGCAAGAGCACACTACTGTGGCTCTTAGGGAAAAGTCCTTCCTTGTCACATATTTTTTTGTGGTATTGGGATCTGAACTGAGAGCCTACACTACCAGCTCTTTTCTTGTAATGGATTTTTTCGAGATAGGGTCTCAAGAACAAGAGCCTGGGCTGGCTCTGAACTGCAATTCTCCTGATCTCTGCCTGAGTACCTAGGATTATAGGCATGAGCCACCAGCGCCTGGCTCCTTGTCAGTTTGATGTTTAATGCCCTCACTTCATTATGTCCCAAAGATTAAACAGGACCATGTGGCAGAGCTGTCAGCACCATCCATGGCTCAGAAAATCTACTTAAATTTTTTTTTTTACTCTTTTAACGCCAGGGGCCCAGGAAGGAAAAGATCCAAGGTTCAGACCCCAGTAACTACCAAAAGAAAAAAAGCACATCTACAGCAACTTCGGATTTCAGCAAAATGAAACGGGAAGCAGCCTAAGTGTACAAATGATATTTTTATTTAGAGGGTGCTGAACTTAAGACTTTTAACTCAAGTCTAAGAACTTAAGTTGCGAGTTTGAATTCTGATTTTACTGCTCATTACATATGAAAGTCACTCAAGTATCCCCACTTCAATTTCTTTACGCATAAAATGAGTCTAACAAGTTAATCAATTGATCTCAAGGCTTAGGATAAGAGATAATATCCATAAAAAGCTAACCTGGTAACTCTTACGTTTTTGACAGAGGATAGACAAGGTGATTTACTTATACAGTCCATAATTTTCTTACCGCCAGGTGGACTATGAAAGCAAATTCAAGTCATAATCATGGATTTATTTGAAGTTCTATATTTTAACATATCTTAACACTTTACTAGAGGAAGGAGGTCCTCTGCAGATTTTCCAGCAAAGTTCTCGTTAGTGTCTTTGTTGCAGATATCCTTCTAGCAGTGATAATCTGCATCAGGTATCCCCCGACACAAGTTCACAGTAGATTGTACCAATCTGCTAATTTTACCAGTTGTCAATTTTAAGACACTCCCACCTGTCAGTTACCCTGGCAAAACAGATCTACCAAAAAACTCCAGGTAAAAATATACAAGAAAGTCTGCATAACCATGTACAGAAACCATTTTTTTGCTCCCAGTCTCTGAACTTACTAGTCTACTTCTGCCTTCCTTTCCAACTCCATCTACCATTGTTTTGGATCAATGGCATGTAACGGAACCTCTACAATTAACAGAATGCATCAAAGAGACTAAGAACCCATGTTCTCCAATGGTGGGAAAAGATCAGAGGCAGCATTCCAAGCCAAACTGTATCCAGCTTTATTAAAGATACTTTTCATAAACAATCATGGTATTTCAGGCAGGACATGGGCAGACAATCTTTAAACAGTATACAACAACTTTCAAACTCCCTTCTTGGATGGACTACCAAAATCAGAAAGCCACTATAAAACCCAATGACGTCTTCATCTGAAGCTCTGAACATGGAAGTTTAGAGTGAGGGTTGACATTTCACATTAAACATGTTGTTTAACAACTTTTCACAAGCCGACCCTGACTTTCAGGAAATGAAATGAAAATGGCAGAATTATCAATCTGAAGATCCACAATCTAGAAAAGGAACCACTGTTCTTTGGGGAACATCATTTCAGTGATGTCACTGAAAAGTCCAGATTGCCTGACATACTGGCAAAACCAATCTTGGTGAGTCAGGTCCCAACAGGCCTCTGGTTTTAAGGGAGTTTAAGTCTATGCTGATGATGGAGAGGGAGGAGGACATAAAAATGAGTTTTCCCACATCACAGGGCATTTGTGTCAAGGTGACTGGCTTTTGTGTGTCAATGCCATGGAATCCCTCCTCCTGAGGGCCAAGAGGAAGTCTCAAAACTAGCAGGGAAAGATGTTTCTCCCCTACATTGATCCAGATTTGGAGATATTCAATTAGTGACACATGCTCCTTCTCCCCAAAATAATGCAGTGTTCTGTGTGCTAACAACATAGCTAAAAAAAAAAAAAAGTAAAACAAAATTCTGCATTTTTATAAAACTTGATAAAAAATAGTATTTCAAACTGTACAGTCACCAGAAGTACAGTTATCAAAAAATGCACACACTTCACTTGGCATCTCCAGCACCTTCAGCTTTCTGTGCCTGAAAGAAAAACACATTAACACAATATGTAGATTAACCCCCCCCCCAAAAAAAACCCAAAAAACTTAAAGACAAGACCACCTGCTGAATATAAGTATGAAGACGCTGTTAATGCTAACTCTGCTGTTGTGTCTAACGAGGGTATCTGAAATAAGGGTGCACTTGGGGTTGCTGCAGTGGCAGGCTGCATTGGAGATGCTAGATCTTGGAGAGCTGAGCGAGCATGCACATAATTGTCCCTGCAATATGATTAACTGAATCCTGCATTTGAAGGTTTGAACCAACCTTATGAAGACTGTTGTTTAAAACTCTGGTATCATCTTTTAAGTAACTTGACGAGAGCCATTACTTCTTTTTGCTTTATAGAGATCTGGATAAGAAATGCTGCTAAGACATTAATTGAGGCTTCAAGGAAAGGTATCTTCTCAGTTTCAGCTTGGATATGTTGAACAAGATCCTCAGTAGAATAGTCCTCAATTCCTGTTTCCAACTCAGGGTCCACCAACTTCTCCATACTGGTCTCCATCGCTGTAGTCACAAGTTGGCTGACATTCTTGCTCAAGTCCCCGGTGGGATCTTTGATACTCTCGGTGGCCTCCCTGGTCTTACTGTTGGATCTGAGGATATTACCTTCCCTCTTGTCTTTGTTCTGGCTTTGGAGCTCTGGTTTCTCATCTCCTGGTGGGAAGGTCTTTATAGCATCATTTTGCTCACAGGCCAAAGTTCAGGTTTTGAGTACTTAAGACACCAAGACTCAGCACTTCTCTTTTGGGAGTCTTGCTAGGTAACTTTGCTAAGTCACCTCCCCCTAGCTGTTACTGTACAATTGGGGAAAAGGGCATGAAAAAAATAAGACCTGAGGCTATTCCCAGCTTGAAAACTTTTTGGTGTAGTGTAGCATGAGTGATACCTCAGAATAGGACAACACAGTGCCTTTCAACTGATGGCAGAGATTTTAAGAAACCAGGATTACAGTCAGCAGGAAAGCCACAACACACTTGGAAATGATGTAGACACAAGGTAAGGGCAATACAAGTTTTCAAGATTAGTAACTGATTCATTGAATGTGTACACCCAACAAAAAGTAAAACAGTTTTACCTGGTCTGTTTTGGCATCTCCATTTTCTGCAGGGTTATTTCCATCCTTTCCAGTATCAGCTTTTCCCCTTTTCCCTTTGGGCACCTTCTCTCCCTTCTGGGGGTAGCGGGGAGAGAGAAAATAGAACTGTTTTTCCTCATTTCATGTTACCAAGGTAAGTCTGCAAAATTCTGCACAAAGTAAGACTTGCTTATTTAAAATACACACATCACCCCACCCCACACATTTACAAGAAATGATCCAAAACTAACCTAAGCCACAATTTCCTAAGGTCAACATAAAAAAAATTCTTATTTAAATGTGTATTACCAAATAAACCAAATCAAACTCGTTGATAGTTTTAACATTCAAGTGCAGTTTTTTGTAAACTGACAAATCGACTAGGAAATAAGTACTATGAATATCAGGGATAAGGCTATCAAAACAACTTACAACATCCATTGATGGAGTCACCATTATGCTGAATTAGGTTAAGGTGATGAAGGGCAGTTCTCTTTCTGTGAAAATCACCAATTCCAGTATTAGCACCATTGTCTCTCAGTTTCACTTACCTTTGCAGGGGCCTTTTTAGGCTTGGGCTCTGGCTTTGGAGGAGCAGGTTTCTTATTTGGGCAGGCAGAGAAAAAGAGAACTATTAGTACAACGGAGCAAAGAAACCCACCCACAACCAAATCATAGCACCATCAATGGTATGAGGTTTCTCCTGTTTGTCAAAGTTCTTGTGGCTGGTTTTCTTTTAGAATGTAACATGTGTAGAGCGCCTGCCTAGCAGTGTAAAGCCAAGTTCAAACCCAAGCACCGCCCCCAAAATGCAAATCTCCCAGTTTGGTTACTAACACTGAATTTCAGAACCATAAAACTCCAAATGAGCAATAACCCAAGATAAAATAGATCATCAAAAACCAGCCACTAACCATAATTCATCAGAAGCAAGTGGAATTATTTTTATCAATGCTTTTTGTTTCAGAGGTAAGTATGAACTACTACACACTTACAGCAGACAACCTGGCGGATCTTCTCTGTGGCTGTTTTAAAAAAATAAAACAAAAAAACAGAAGTTAGTGTGTTCTAGATTACATAAAGTGAATGCAGGAAGTCTAGGCAAATTCAGGGCTGAGTTGTGATCAGTTTCATCAATTACCACCAAAGAGTATCACCGAAGTCCTTACGGTCCCCGAAAGAAAAGAGAATTAAGACTCACCTCGTCCTTCACCTTGGCTTTATCTCCTTTAGCATCGCCTTCAGCCTGTAAGACAAAGACAAAAGCCGTTACCTTCTAAAAAATTTTCCTAAGTCCCTAAAGTTAAAAAGTGCTCATATGAAAAAAAAAAAAAAGTGTAATACACAACTCTTCTAGGACATCTTTGCTCAGCTTGTATACAAGTAGTACAAGTGCTTAAAGCTATTCACCCGTTCAAGCCCAACGCGCACACTGAGGAGCCCGGCCCGCCAGCCCAAGCAGCGCAGGCAAAGCCGAAGCCCTGCCGGCCGAGAGAAGCCCGTGCCCGCGCCCGCGCCAGGCAGTAGCAACAGCTGCAGATGGTGCAAACAAACCCCTACGGAGGCGGAGCCGAGAGTCGTTGCCATGGCAGCCGTCGAAGGCGGGAGAGAAGAGGCGCGCGCAGCCCAGGAACTCGTGGGCGGCGGCGGCGGCGCGCGTCTCGTGCGCCGGGAACGTGGGCGGGAGGGGTGGAGCCACATCGTCCGGGCCCCGCCCCCTAGCGGCGGCGGTTTTTTTGGCGGCAGCGCATTACCCCGCCCGCCAACCCCGAGCGCCGCCTTCCCGCCCTTTCGGGTTTGAATCGCCCGCCCGCTCGTCGGGAGGAGAAGGGGGCCTAGCAGTGGGGGAGGGGGCGCGGGGCGGGCGCGAGGAGCGGGATAAACAGCCACCAACATGGCTCCTCCCGCCGCGGCCGCCGTTCCTCCAATATGGCCTCTGGCGCCCGCGGGCAGCCGCGCAGCGCAGGGTTAGCCCCAGGCCCCGACCCCGCCTCGAGCCCCACGTCTGGAGGCTGCGCTCGCTCCGCCGGCGCCGATTCCCGTGCCCCGAGCCGGGTAGGCAGCGGCAGTTTGCGATTCGGCGCCCGCAGCCCTCGCGCCACGTACCTTTCTCTTGGGCATGGTGGCGGCGGCGGGGGGAGGAAACGTAGACGCTGAACGCGGGGATGCAGTTGCGCGCGGCTTTGGTCGATCCAGGGGTCGTTCTCGCCTCCTCTTCACACTGCTCGGGCTCCGGGGGGTTTATAAAGTTTTTATAGCGCTGGGAGCCCCGGACCGGTTAGAACCGGATTTCACCTCCCGCCGCAGCTCATTGGTCCAGCTGGGGTCACGTGGGCGGGGTTTAAACTCACCTCCTCTGGAGGGAGTGAGGAGGGGGGCCTGGGGAGGGGGGGGAAGGCGCGCGAGACAGCGCCGAGCCGCGCGGGTGGGGGCGGCGCGCGTCGAAGGCAATAAATGAGCAGGGGTGCGCGAGTCTGCAGGCTCTGGGTTCCGCTCCCTCCAAGAGCTGGCTTTTGCGAACTACCAAGTTCTTTTCACCTTATGCAACCGGGCTACCCGCTTCTCCAAGCCGAGCGACGCTCAGGGTGCATTTCAGCGGCTTTCCTTCCTGCTCCCGCTGGGGGCCCCAGAAGAGGGGTTTGTGAGGCCTGGCCCCGCCACCCCGCTCCGCTGGAGGCGGGAGGAGGCGCCACTAGAGGCACAGCTGCAGCTCCCGGGCCAACGCTGACGCTCAAGTGGGAAAAGAGCGTGGAGGTCAGCCTGGCGCAGGCGGACATGCATCCTTCCGAGCATCCACTAAGGGGAAGCTCTTCGTGCACCTCACTTGGAAAGCGGTCCACTCAAGGTGGGGTGTGGGTTCGAGTAGACTTTCCACGCAGGGATGCCTTTCGGGTGCGGTGGGGCAAGTAGGAGCTGTCCTTTCAGCACCCGTTGCTCGACTGCCTTCCCAAATGCTAAAGACCCTCCTTCCCCCAAGGCCTTTCGGGCGGCTCCCTCCTGTCGTTGCATGCAAGGCCACATTAATTGACGAAGAGCTGCCGCTGAGGCACTCTCCTCCCGTAAAGAACTCTCCGTCTCTGTTACCTCTAACCCAGCTGCCCCCACCCGACGCGGCCACCGAGCCTGGGTGCTGCATATGCCGCAGCTGGCGAAATCCTTCCTTCCTCACTATCAAGTTGGCTCTCTTTCACTTACTCGAGGAAAGGGAGGGTGGAGGAAACGGCTTAGGGATTAGGAAAGAAGAGGAACAGGTGTAATGGCAAAAGGGCTCTTTTAGTATGCACCAGCCCAAACCCAGGGGTCCTGGAGCTAGCCAAGCACCTCCGAGGGAGGGTAGGCAATTGGAGAATCAAACAAGACTTACATTCAACAATTTTAAAGTTCTATTTGAGATCCAGAACACAAGAACAGGGGGTTTAGCGCTAAGCTGGGAGAACGTAATGGTCCCACCTGATTTTCTGAGACAAGGGTTGATGTTAGAAATGTAGAAATCCATAACCAGCAGAAAGGAAACAACACCGAGTTGAAACCAAGAATTTTGTAGCCTTGTTTCTGGGCGGCAACGGTTCTTCTGCCTCTCCTCTTTTCCACCCCCACAGTACCTCCTAGGGCAGCTCCTCCCTACTCCACCCTGTATACCTGCCCCAGAATACAGGAGCTATGGCCAAGGGAAATACCAGTCCTCTACTTGTACCCCAAGTCAAAAAGACTCAGCAGCCATGCTCACAGGGAAGATTCCTCCATTTGCTGCCTCCAGTACCTCATTCTCGCCTTAATTATAGGGCTCTGCATTATAACCACATAATTCATGCCTCCCTAATTAAGGCTGTCAACAGCCCCATTGTAAAGCTGGAAAATGTACAGCACCTGCTCTCTGGGAACCCTGTGCCAGGGATTGGTAGTGGGGTGCCAGGTGTATAGGGAGCCTCGCCAAAGGGTGCATCAATTGGCTTCTCAGTATATGGCATATATACTGAGTGTGGGTGCAGGAATGATGGGCAAGGGAATGGGGTATAGGAAAAGTGAGGAATCCAAAGAGTATACTCTTCACACTGCTTGCAAAATCTCACCTCTCCTGGAGGGAGGTGCTGGGGAAACAAGAAGACTAAAGTAGCATTTTGTCAGCATTACTGGCTGGTACTTGCTTCTTTAGGGTACCTGAAGCAGAGTTGCTCAGGCAGACAACTCTTCAAAGGCACTAATCCTCTCAGCAACTCTGGGGATGCCTGGCAAGGCACGGTAAGGAAAAGGACACAGCCTTGACTCAGTCCTCTTCCTGAGCCAAAGCTGGACAGCTTTGGCCAACAGAGGCAGAGAGAGGGCCTGGAAGAACTTTTGCCGTACTGAGAACAGTCTTGGGGCCTCTTAGGCAGCCAGGTCAAAGAGCTATGTGAATCCTCCAAGATTGGGAGTGGGAATCAAGAGTTTGAGATGGTGAGGGCAGGGGCCTGGAGGCAGAGGCAGAGTCAGTTGGGAGAAATACTTGGTCTACTCAGTCCTAATGTGTTCAACAGAAGGAGGTCTGTGTTGGATTAGATTTACCATGGCCTATAGGACCTTCTGTTACTTTGTAGCCATGGAGGGGGCTAGTCTCACTGGAGAGTAGAGCCTGGCCCAGTGCCCTGCAACAGGGGGAGAAAAGCTTGTGTGGGCTGAGTCAACAATAGGTAATTGGATTGTAATCACCAGCCTGGCTTCCTTGTGCCATTGGGGGCACTGAGCCTTTCAGTGAGAATCAGAACTGTGTGGTGGGAGGGGGTAGAGATTCAATAGCAAATCCCAGGTGGAGAGCCAAGGGGAGGAGCAGCAGATGGGCAAATTTTCTGTATCTCACGCCTCTTTCTTCTTTGCCCAAATAACAGTGGCTGCCTATTAGCTATTTACCAGCAGATACAAGGTACAGCCAAATCTGGTGGGGAAGGCTAAGATGGAGAATAAGGGGCTAGGTTTTGGGAAGACCTCTGCACTTCTGCCTGTTGAAGGATGTACTGGTGGAAAAACAAAAACAGACAGGGCAGGCAGCCAGTGAGTTGGAGCCCCCCAGGTTCTCCAAACTGACTGGTGACCAGTGTCTTTGTAGGAGACTCTCACCTTCAAACCTCCCCAGGGGCCACTGTCCCAGGCAGCCAAAAGGTATCTACAGCCAACAGATGTGGCTTTGGGGGTTCTTCTGCCAAGTAAGGGGAGCATAACTCATCAGGAAGGAGTGCCTTTCACCAAGAAAAGAAAGGAGTGGGGCCCTGCAGGCAAAGGGCAGGGTACAGTGGCTGATGGCCAGCCTTATTCAGGCTGATGCAGTGCCCAGACGTGCCAGCCAGTCAGCCCGCTTGAGTTCCAAGGCCTGCAGGAAGCCTTGGACTCGCTCTTCCCGTCTGGCTAAGAGTTTGTGCAAGCGTGTCCGTCGGAGCTGGGTGTCCTCACTGGCCTGGAGTCCCTCTTGTAGCAGCTGCTCTGTCACTGCAGCCTGGTCCCTCTCCAACTGGTGCCTCTTCCGTTCTTCTGCATATAGGTCTCGAGCCTTCTGCTAAAGAAAAGTAAGGTGCAGGGTGGGGAGATCATTAGATGTGGGTAGCACTGGGGTGAAGGAGGTGGGGTTGGGGCCCAGAGTGAGCCAAGTGAGGTAGAATAGTGGAGAGTTCCATCTTGGTTTGATTTGTGTGAAACTATCTGTATTCCTTAAAATTCTTGTCAGGGAACCAGGAAAATCAGGGGCAGGAGGGTGTTTCCGATTTCTGATTTCCCCCAACCAACTAGCTTCATGGCTTTGAGAAAATCCTCTCCTAACCTCATTTCTTCATCTGTAAAGTGGCGGTTGTGCCTACCTTGAAGAGTAGTTTTAAGGATTAGAGATAATATATGCAAAATCCTCTCTATCATATTAGCAGGTTCCCAGACATAACAGCAATTTTACATGTTATTATGTCTACTGTCTGCTGCAGGGAAGGTCCTATACCTGTCTGGGGCACTATTCATTGGGTCACTTATTTTTTGGGGGGCTTGAACTCAGGGCCTTCACCTTGAGCCACTCCACCAGCCCTATTTTTGTGAAGGATTTTTCGAAATAGGGTCTCACAAACTATTTGCCCAAGCTGGCTTTGAACTGCAATCCTGATCTCTGCCTCCTGAGTAGCTAGGATTACTGGAGCTTGGCCTTGAACTCAGGACTTTGTGCTTGCTAAGCAGGCACTCTACTGCTTGAGCCATGTTTCTAGCAACTGGGTCACTTCTTATGGTCTGTTTTTCAGGGTTCAGCTCTAGACTTGCCTCTTGTATGGAGTCAGGCCTGACTCTTCCAGCAGATGGCTCTCCTATGGATGCTCTGAGAATCAGGTTCAACTCTCTTAAGTCACTTATTGCATCTGCCTAGAACAGGTGTCAGCATCTGCAGTCTGCTTTTTCTATTAGAAAGACACCCCTGAAGGCCCCCTAGAGCCCCCAGGGATCCTAGAACCAACTGACATCAGTCGTACTCCTCAGCAGCACTTCTCAGACCTGTGTATGTGTCTCAAGACAAACCATAAACTCCTATAGGTCAGGGACTGCTGAAAGTTGGGTCTGGGCTGTGCCTGATGTTTTCTATTGCTCCAGTTTATCTGGCCTACAGAGTCTTTGTACCAGAGGTCCTCCTGCCAAACCTATTCCATGACTGAACAACCTTAGTTTTGGTTATGGTTTTTAAGACGTGGTCTCCCTATGTTGCCCATGCTGGTTACAAACTCCTGAGCTCAAGAGATCCTCCTGTCTCAAGAGTCCCAAGTAGCTGAGACTACAGATCTGTGTCACTGCACCTGGCGAGCAACAGGGATTTTCCTACAGGTATCTTATAATCTGATGACTCTAACCACATCTGACTTTGTATTATGGTACCTGTGTTCAGGTCTTGTCCTAATCATCTTATCTCCTTGATTGCCCTGTCTTCATCCTTTAAAGAATGTGCACAAATAGTTCATCTGCTATTCACCTGACCCTCAGCATGAAGCTGTGATGGAGGTGCTGTTTACCCGCTAGAGGTTCATAGTAGAAAAAGTGGTTTGCTAAGGTCTCTCAGCAATAAAGGTGTATTGCATGAATACAGATGATAAAGGAGAATTCTGGAATAACCTTCTTGTATTGTCTTGAGTGGTTCTAGGCTTTCAAGGGTATTTCTCTGTTGCTGCTGTGATGAGTTATGAAGACTACAGGTGCAAGTAGTTGCTGCTAGGGCTCTCTGTTTTGTGAGAAGGGCTTCTTGGCCTTGATTAGGAGGACCCTGGGCCCATGTACAAGACTTTTTGGGGGTATGGAGTGATGCTGGGACACAGTCCTAGCATTCACGTGCTTGAAGGGTGAGTAGGACACAACCATGTATACAAAATATTGTAACACAAAATGTGGAAGAGATCACCAGGGAAGCAATAAAAAAGGCTAAGCAAGCTGAGAGGATAAAGCAGTTGTGGTTGATGAAGGTCAAGGAGCAATGAAACCTTATAGGTAGGCATTTAACCAATGGAGAGGATTCAGATAGAGGTGGGGTGTGTAGAGGGAGAAGAATATTCTGGGAATAAAAAAGTTGCATAAAATGGAAGTTTGCTTAGGCCAGAGTAAGTCTGCCTGGAGCACTGGGGTTTGGGAAGTTCCTCACCTGTCTAAAGCTATTTCTTTTTCTTTTCTTTTTTTTTTTGCACTGGGGTTTTGAACTCAGGACCTCATGCTTGCTAGGCAGGAGCTCTTAGTCACTCTGCCAGCCCTCTAAGGCTATTTCTTAATCTGAAAAATTTAACAGAACCCACCTCACTGGGTTGTTTGAGGAACAATGAGATGATGAGTGCCTAACCTAGTGCCTGGCTGTTGTTAGCTATCTTGTCACTACCACTGTTGGCCAGGGCTTTGTTAGGCAAAGTCCTGGCAGAATAGAAAGGATGGGAGACACCCAGCCCCAGAAAGAGGAAATGCAAAGTTGGGTAAAGACACCTCATAAGGCTTAAGCTTCTTCCATGTGGCAGCCTTTATGGAATACCAGCAACAGAGGCAGTAGTCAAGACAGAACCTTGGGCCCTATTTGCCAGAAATTAGTGGCTCACTGTGAGGATGATGGAGAGAGACCATATGTTCCAGTCTCCTTGTTTTATAGACAAGGATACTGAGCTCAATACACAAAGGGACTTGGCCTAGGTCACACAGCTGGTTGAAGTTCCTTGGTTTCTCTAAGGTAGCTTCTTGAGAGGATAATGGAAATGTATCCTGTATCTATGGAGTACAATGGAGAAGCTGATGGCCTGATTCTATATACCTGTCTGACCATTCCCATGTGGTCTGGATTTACTCTCCCAATCTCAGAGGTGACTGATCTAGCTTCTCTGATCTAGCTTTTTCACAGGTACTCATCCTCAGAAAAACCAAGCTAACAGAAGCCCTAAAGGTCAATGTTTCTCTCTATCTGTATAATGGCCAAAGAAAATGAGAGTTAATTCTTTTAGAGACTTTTGCAATCTTGGTGCAAGGGCTCCAAAAAACTCATTTTGAGAAATATGGGTTTAACTTTTTTTTTAAAAGAGTAAAGCAAGCACAAAGTTTATTGAAAAGATATCAAAGTGCCCTAATGGGTTGGACGTAATGAAAGAGCTAAGCTGAACCTATTCACCTAAATCCTTCCTGGGCCTTAAAAGCATCTATGTTCTTGTTCTCTCCTAGGAAGAATCAGGAATAAGAGGTAATAGCCCCTCAAGACATTGAATCCCCAAATCTTCCTCCACTTTGCTGAAGCCTGGAGAGAGGCTATAAGTGCTACACTGCAAAACATTTATTAAGCGCTAGGGATGTACCTCAGTGTTGGAGCACCTGCCTAGCATGTATTAAAAAAAAAAAAAAAAAAGGATTAGCCATGAAAAGTTCTCCCTGAAGCCATGACCAGCACATTCAGGTCAGCAGCATGAGGAATGCACTTGGGAGGACTGCCTTGAGACAAAGAGTGCATCTCCTATAGGAAACATGATGCTCTGAAGTGCCCCCAGAGTCTGCCTGGGGAATTACTAAGGATGAAATGAGCAGGGTACCTTGTGCATATGGCTTTTCTGGACAAAAGTCCAGAGACATGGTGGAAAATATTAACCACACACTCAGCACTTTTCATGTATTTTAATTGTTATAATCGTCTCATTTTATAGATTAGGAAAATGATACTCTGAGGGATTAAACCATCCAGGTCAGTCATATAACTAAATAGGCAGCAGCCTGATTCAATGCCTGAATAACTCAAGCTGTTAACTTCTCTTGAGAATACACTGACTATCTGAAGAGTACCACAAATATAATACAGTTTAAACTAGGATCAATGTACCACTAAAGGAGGTTTAGTGGGAACATGTCTTCTCCCTCTATACTATTATTTTTGAAGAGTAAGTGGACAAAAACTTTTTTACTCATCTGTCAGTGACCACTCATGGACCCATCATCCATGCAACCTGTAATGGAGGACCAGATGTTCTTTGCTCCTGAGGCCCTGCTTCCCTGGTCTGATTCCCTATCTGGGCCTTTCTGCTGACAAGTCCTACTGTATCATAGTTAAGATCTCCTCCCTTTGCCAGACTATAAGACTGGCTTGGTGACCAGTGGAGACTGTCATGGCCCTTCAAATACTAAGGTCAGTCCCCCAACAACTTATAGATGAGTTCTTCATCCCAGTAAGCTACTCAGGTCCAGAGCCAAGCTCCTTGCCTTCTGTCTTGGCTTCCTGCTGAGAACAGAGATACACTAGCTTAGCCTAGAGACAGAGCAGCTCAGATTTTGAGTTTGGATAATAGGGCAAGAGTACAGACATGGAGGTAGAAAACTGAAGGGTATGGGAGTAAGGAAGAGTAAAATGTTCAGTTTGGTCACAATGCAGGGTATGAAAAAAGGAAATGAGAGAAAAGGTTAGATCTTTCTGGGGTTAGTGGAGTGGTTCAAGCAGTAAGAGTGCCCGCCTAGCAAACGTAAGGCCCTGAGTTCAAACCCCAGTGCCACACACACACACAAAAACCAAGACCAGACTGGTAAAGATGTTAGTCTGGATTCACTCCCTTAATGCTTCTGTTCAAGGTGCAAAGATTTCTAAAATAGAACTTTGAGGGCTCCTGTATAGATCAAACCAAGTCAGAACCCCCATGGGACCCTGCTAGAAAATGCTTCAAGAAAATGTCTCTGTCTTAACTTTTGTTTCCTTACTCTGAAAATGGGGGCAATAATAATAGAATCTACCTTACAGTGCTTGATATCCATGTGAAGGATGCCTATATAAGCAAGAGCTTAATAAAAGTTTGCATTTATGCTTCATAGGTATGAAACAGAATGCTGAATGGTTGTCCTCAAACATCCATCCCAGTCAGGCACCCATGGCTCACGCCTGTAATTCTAGCTACTCAGGAGGCAGAGATCAGGAGGATCGCAGTTTGAAGTCAGCTTGGGCAAATAGTTCTCAAGACCCTATCTTGAAAATACCCAACATAGAAAAGGACTGGTGGAGTGTGGGTTAAGTGGTAGAATGCCTGCCTAGCAAGTGAGAGGCCCTGAATTCAAACCCCACTACCTCAAAACAAACAAAACAAAACAAAACAAAACAAAAAGCCCAAAAAACATTTATCCCAGGAAACAGCAGAACTGTCTACCCAAGTCACTGCCCAAGTCACAACCTACATGTCTTGGTTTCTAATAATGTCAGTGTTTTTATTTATCTGGTTTATCCCAAAAAGAAACAATGAAAGAGTTTCAGAATGACATGATAACATAACCACTAACAGACTTCATTAATAATGTTCAAGTTTGCATTTCAGGGTGTATTATCCTTAGAATAGATTCCAGTAAAGGTATATAGTCAGAGAACTGATTTAAGGTAACTTGAATTAATTCCTTTCTCTGGAGAGTAATATTATTACCTTGACATTGTTGGTTTCATTTGCTTGGTTTCTTTGTTTTTTGGGGTTTTTTTTGTTTTGTTTCTTTTCAAGATAGGGTCTTACTATGTAGCTCAGGCTGGCTTCAAACTCACAGTCCTCTTGCCTCAACCTTTTTTTTTTTTTTTTTTTTGTGGGACTAGGTTTGAACTTAGGGCTTTATACTTGTAAAGCAGGTATTCTTCTGTTTGAGCCTCTTGCCTTAGCCTTCTGAGAGCTGGGATTATAGATATACCCTACCATGTTGGCTTGTTTTTGTTTTAACTCTTATTGTGATCCCCCACCTTCAGTCTTCCCCTGCCCAAGTGATACCTTGAGGCACATTCTCTCTCACCTTGGCTGTGGCAGGAATTTGGTCTCTTGGCTCTGACTCCTACCCTCTATAAATCCTGAGTGATTTTTACTAAATGCCAATAAGATCCTTTCACTCCTCTGACTGAGTCCTTCAATTTTATTACCATCACTACTAAGCTCTGTATAATCAAAGGTCTGACCCCCTTCAGCCTCATCTCCTCCCACCCCTGGAACACTTGCCTCTTGTTTTGTACTCCCAAAACCCAAACTTTATGACCATAGTATCCATCCTTTGCCTTTCTTCATTACCTTCTAGCACATCATCACTCTGTGTATTCTTCATTGTCTTACTGCAATCAGGAATTGTTTTTACATATTTATTTGTTTATTATATATCTTCTCAACTAACAATATAAGTTCTATGAAGGCAGAGATCTTGTCTGGCAGGCTAACTGCTGACTCTCCTGTGCCCAACATCACACTGGACAGACTAAGGACTCAATAAACATTTATGGCAAAGATGAAGAAACCTGAGGTAACTACTGTAATAACCATGTGCAAAGAATCTAAGCAACCTGAAATTACTGTAAAAAGCTTCTAGTTAGCTAAATTAGAGATCCATACATAAGAATATCCATATGCAAAAGCTCATGTTCCGAGCTCTTCTGGGTTTCATGCAGAGCCAATTTGCTCTCACTTTATAAGTTCTGACACACTTGATTAACTGGTTTCTTTGCCAATAGCTGACTTGAACAGCAAACAGCAGGAAAGAGAAGGAGGGATGCTATTAAAATTAGCCATTGACATAGGATGTGAAAGAGGAAGGACACAGAAAGATACACAAAAAATCCCAAAGCTAGGTATTTTGAGATCATTTAGCTTAGAATAAACAACCCCACTCCTTCAAGGGCATAGCTATACAGCAGAGTGTTTAAAGATGGTATCATTTTCATCATCATTAGAAAGTGACTATTTTAGTCATCATTAGCAAATGTCTGGTAGATAGTATCAATAAATTAAGTACAAGACACTACAGAAAGTTTTCCATCAAACAGGTAAAAACAGAAGTTTTAGTTAAAGGAAACTTTGGTCATGTGGAAAAATGTGATATTCATTCCTTATTGGCAGTGAATAATTGAGGCTTTGCTGGGTTTTTTGTACTTTTTCTAAACTTCCTCAATTTCCTCATATTCTGAGACTCAGTGATCAAACACATGATAAAACATTTATGATTTGATTGACTTATGCCAGGAGTTCTGAATTTGGGACTCATGAGAAGATTTTAGGGATTATCACAACCCCTGAAAATATTCTATGTATTTGAGTGACAAGTGCAGTTCTATGGAAATTGATCTGCAATTTTTCTATAGAAGTGGTCTGTAGCTTTCATTAGGTTTACCAAAAAGGCTTTAAAACCAAGGAGATTGAGAAGCTCTGACTTACATCACTATTTTTTTCTGGGCCATTATCTGTTCAGAATTAAGAAGCAGGACCAGGTATAATTTTAAAACTAAGGTTAATAGTTTTGTGGTGTTAGGCCAATTACTTGGTCTTTCTGACCCTCTGTTTCTGTATCTGAAAAATGAGGACACCAGACCTGCTAGATGGTTGAAAGGGTTACAGAAATGTACATGAAATGTACACAGTAGACCCTCAATATGTTACCCACCCTTACTCACACCACCATTATTATTAAGAGTGTTAACCAGATGCAGGTGACTGCCTCCTAATAAAACTTACAAAAGCTGGCGAACAAAATTGAAAACAGAATTTTTCAATCTTGACATAATGTAGTTTTATGCAATGGAAAGGCAAGGTTTTTTTTTTGGCCGTAGTGAGGTTTGAACTCATGGCCTCAAACTTGCTAGGCAGGTGCTCTACCACTTGAGTTACTCCACCAGTCCTTTTTTGTGTTGGGTATTTTTGAGATAGAATCTTGAACTATTTGCTCGGGCTGGCTTCAAACCGAAATCTACTGATCTCTGCCTCTTTTGTAGCTAGGATTATAGGCGTGAGCCACCGGTACCCAGCTGTTATTTTATTCTTAGTCCTTTCTGGAAGAGGGTTGGATTTTGCATACTTCCATTGTAACAATTTTTTGTTTTATTTTGTCAAACTTGCACTGGCCTTGAAATCAAAATCTTGCCTCAGGCTCCCAAGTAGCTGGAACTACAGGTATGTAGCCCCATCCCAGGCTACAAGCTTTTAGTAGACTAATATCTTCAGGGAATAATGGATAATCTCTCTAAGAAGCCTTTCCCCAGGTATGTAAGAGATTAAAAGACTTGTACTTTTTTTTTTTTTTTTTTTTGTGGTACTGGGGTTTGAACTCAGAGCCCAACACTTGCTAGGCATGTGCTGTACCACTTAAGTCATTCTACCATCCCTGTTTTGTGTTGGGCTTTTTTGAGATAGGGTCTTGAAAACTATTTGCCCAGACTGGCTTCAAACCATGATCTGCCTGATCTCTGCCTCCTGAGTAGCTAGGATTGTAAACCACTGGCGCCTGGCTCCTATCTTCTTATTGACTATAAGTTCCTGATAAATTTTTTTTTCTATTTACTCATTTACAGAAAGAGGCTAATAAGACTTCCTTGACTGGGTACTTGGAAGCAAAAAAAAAAAAAAAAAAAAAAAGTTGAGTTTGTGGTGCATGCCTGTTATCCCAATGACAGTGGGAAGTTTAAAATAGGATTGCAGATCAGGATGGCCTAGGCAAAAAAATGAGACCCTATCTCCAAAATAACCAGAGCAAAAAGGGCTAGAGTCATAACTCAGTCACCACAGCACCTGCCTTATGAGTACAAAGCCCTGAATTCAAATGCCATTACTGCCAAAAATTAAGATACTACATGTAAAACATCCACAGTGTCTAACACAGGAGATGCTCAGTGAGTTTAGCTACTGTCATCGTCATCATCATCATCATTACTCTGCTTATCAGAAAAGTGGCCAATCAACATTAACTTTTTCTTGCATCCCACCCAGTCACGCCAGCCCCAAATTCATACCTGAAGTGTGCTATGGTTCGCCTGAAATTGCAGGATGGCCTCACACAGGTTCCAAAATGTGTATTCTGGCCACAGAATTGGTTGAAACACTAGGCATGAATGGGAGGCCTGGGAAAAATACAGAAAAAAAGAGTATAGTTTAGTTACTGTGGCTGTGCCACATTGCTGGTCAGTCCTCCAGTGGAGGAACAGGCTGAGCTGGAAAACTAGGAAAGGAGATGGCACAGGCATTCTGAGCTGCAACTGCTTCTGATAACCAGTCCTGATTCCCTCACTGATGTGTGTAGCAGTTAGATCACCTGCCTGTGTCAAAGCATAACTAGGCTAGATCAACATTTCTGCCAGGATTTTTCTAAGACCCAATCTTAAGACTCTAAAATAACATCTGGATTGTTATTAACTCTTGGAAGTCATCTGAGAGACATGCTGATAAAAGTCAGTGAAGAACAAATGGTAGCTGCCATTGTTAATTTTAAGTAGTAGCACTATGGCATTGTGGTTAAGTGCATGGATTCTGCAGTCAGACTGCCTGGCTCTGAATCATGGCTCTCAATACTATTCAAGCTGGGTGAGTTATTTAATCTCTCTGGGCCCTCACCTTCCTCAAATGTAAAGTCAGGTGATGCAAGTATTTAGTTTTTAGGGTACTATGAAAATTGAATGTACATAACAGAGAACACAGAACAGGGTGAACATGAATAATAATCACTACCATTGAGCTATCCCACAGCCTCTGAAATATCTTTGATAGCCACTGCATGTTATCTTTAGGGGTGAGGAATCCAGTGCTTCAAGGGGGATAACTTAAGTTGTCAGGTAGCTTCCTATGCTAAACCAATGTAATCTTTCCCACAAGTAGTTTCTCTGGAACAAGTTTGTTTCCATTTCAAAAAAGTGACATTCTTTCAAAGGTTCAAAGGATAGCTTAGAGTTGCCTGTTATCTGTTCCCAAGCCTGCAATGACTTGGTTGAGTTTGTTTTTGCCAACAAAGTATAAGTTTCAAAACGGAGGGGATCATTTCTAACTTGGTTATGACTTTTTTTTTTTTTTTTGACAGTACTGGGGTTTGAACTAAGCACTTTTCACTTGCTAAGCAGATGATCTACCACTTGTACTGTGCACCCAGCCTACTTTTTACTCTAGTTCATTTTTTAATAGGGTCTTGTTTTTATGCCTAGGCAACCTGGACATTTCCTTTTTATGGCTCCTGCCTACCTGGGATGACAGGTATGTACCACCATACCAGCTTTTATTGAGATGGGGATCTAACTGTTTACCCAGGCTAGCTTCAATTATCTCCTGATCAACCTTTCTCAAGTAGTCAAGATTATAGGCATAAGCCACTGTGCCTGTGGATACTCCCATATTTAAATCACAAAGGAAGAACACAATACTTTTTTCTGAGAAATAAACTTACCTTTTGTGGATCACTATCTGCTGCTTGTTCCTTCTAAGACATGAAATTCCTTGCTATGGAGGTTGGTTTCTCCTGGTAGGTCCTCTAGTTTATCAATGTGGTTTTTTTTTTTTTTTTTTTTTGTCATTTTTGGTAGGACTGGGGTTTGACTTAGGGCAAACCAGGTGCTCAATGGCTTGAGCCACATCTCCATTCCATTTTTGCTCTGGTTATTTTGGAGATGAGGTCTTATGAACTATTTGCCTCAAACTACAATCCTACCAATCTCTGCCTTCAAGTAGCTATGATTACAGACATAAGCCACTGGTGTCCTTTGTTTCTTTAAAGTGGTGGGGTTCAAAATCAGGGCCTTGCGCATGCTAGACAGGCACTCTACTACTCAACTACATGTCCAGACCCTCACTGTGGTCTCTTAAATCTCAATGCCCAAAGTAAAGTTTCCAAATGTGATCTGCGCAGCAGAGCAGGTCACAGAACCATAGGTAGCCATCAAACTTCCTTCAGGACAGCAAAAGACTGAAGGTGTCTTCAGTAGCTACTTTTAGTTCAATTTTTTTTTTTTTTTTTGGTGGTACTGGGGGTTTGGTCTCAGGACTTTGTGATTCCGAGACAGGTACTATACCAACTGAGCCACACCTCCAGTCCATTTTGCTATGGTTATTCTGGAGATGGGGTCTCATGAACTATTTGCAAGGCTGACTCAAACCTCGATCCTCCTGATCTCAGTACCCTAGATAGGTAGGATTACCAGTATGAGCCACAGAGGCCTGAGCCATGGGTATCGGGCTCACTAGTTCATTTTAAGACTGTGGTCCATTAAAATTTCTAAACTTTTTGTGAGCAGCATCTAAGCTCAGTCTCCTTCCAACCTCTCCATGGAAGAAAACGTCCCCCAGTCATGTGCTGTCCAGAGACCAAGACAATAAAGCATGAAGATTTTAAAGGAAAAACAAACTTAATTGGATATGAGCTTTTCTAGGAACTAGATACACTAGAGTCACTGAGCAAAAAAGCAAACCCTTGAGGGTTTACATGTAGTTTAGATCCTTCATGGAATGTGCCTACAATAGATGTTGCTCTGTATGCTGAAGACGAGAGACTAGTAACTGCAAAGCAAGGTTTTAGTGGCTGGCAAGTGAACAAGGTTTCAAGGCCCCATTCCTTGAACAGGGTACAAGGAAAGTTTTCACTATGGTTGGATAGCCTTGATTTTCTCGCTAGGCTGGATGTCTTGCACTTTGGAAAGCAAGAACCACACAAGGCTGGACACTGGTGGCTCGTACCTGTAATCCTAGCTACTCAAGAGCCGGAGATCCAGAGGACTGTGGTTCAAAGTCAACCTGAGCAAATGGTTCTTGGGATCCTATCTTGAAAATATCCAACACAAAACAGGGCAGGTGGAGTGGCTCAAGGGGTAGAGTGCCTGCGCAGCAAGTGTGCGGCCCTGAGTTCAAGCCCCAGTACCACCAAAAAAAAAAAAAAAAAGGCTTTCAAAGCCAGAGTAGGATGAAGAAGGGAAAAGGGAAAGCAAATGTCACCATGCACAACCTAGAGATACACTTGTCCAGATTTTATACCCTCTGCCCCAAGATCTCTGATTCTACAATGGTTGGGAGTAGGATAAACTACTTCCATCCAGTCTATGGGTGCAGTTCCAGTGTTCAGCCCAACACAATCATTAACAGAATTTCAAATAAACCTACCTGCCAGAGCAAGAAGTCACTCAGCCGTACTTCTCCAGAAGTTCTTATCAAGAGGTCAGGGTTAGGAGAGTGGTTGGAATAGAGGCACTTATCAAGCAGAGACTCAGAAACATCACTAAGGTGAGCAGAAGACAGAAAGCACACATTTCATTTCTTTCTGTATTATTCTTACTATACTTCCATTTATAAGGCTTCCTAGTTTATAGAGGACCGTCAAATACACTCTCCAATATAACCTGGTACACAGAAGGTCCTCAATAGATTTTTGTTTGTTAAATTCGTTAATGTGTGTAATGTTGGGGATCAAAACCAGGGTCTCACACATGTTAAGGAAGTGCTCGACAACTGAGCTATATCCCTAGCTCCACAAACTATTTTAAATCTTAACTATTTAAGGTATGTCTGTTCTCATTTTATAGATAAGAAAACTGAGACTCAGAGAAGGTGAATAATTTCCCCAAAGTCATTTAGCTTTAGGCCTAAAACCAGAATACCCACTAGAATGTGTTGTTCCTCACTTATAACATCTTTTTTTTTTTTTTAATTATGTTGTACTGGGTAAAACATCTTGTTTTAACAGGGCACCGGTGGCTCATGCTTGTAATCCTAGCTACTGGGAAGGCTAAAATCAGGAGCATAGCACTTCCAAGCAAGCCTGGGCAAATGGTTCACAATACCCAGCTCCAAAATAACCACAGTAAAATGGGCTGGAGGTGTGGTTCAAGCAGGAGAACAATTGAGACCCCTTAGTTCAAACACCAGTACCACAAAGTCATATGAGCACTAAAATACTACAAAAAAATGAAAAAAAATCCACAATATTCAGTATTTTCATCTCTCTCCCTCTGCTAGTAATTGATCCCAAGGCCTTGCACATGCTAGGTACACACTCTACCAATGAACAATAGCCCCCCAGGATTTTAAATAATCACTTTTCTTATGCTTGGTAAGAGTCACTTTCCCAAGTAATGTCTACACACTCAGAAAGGAGATGGAATTGAGGAAAACTGGTGACTGCCAGCATTTAACTAAAGTAAAACTTTCCTGTCCATGAAAAGAGGATACTTGCAAGGCTGATATTGGTTGGCTCCAAGAACATTATCTATGCTACCAAGCATCCAGGAGTAGAATTTGGGATCTCCAAATGTAAGAGTTATATCTTGGGGAAGGTCCCACCAAGGTTCTCTTGGTGGGAACATGTTTCTGGATGCGTAATAAAGAAAGCAGAAAGATCTGGGATGAGTGTTCAAGCCAGACTATAAATTGGACATAGTGGTTCATGACTGAAATACCTGCAGTGGGGAGAATGCTACAGGAAGATCGAGTGTTCAAGGCCAGACTAGGTTATAGAGAGAGAACCTGTCTCAAAAAAAAAAAAAGTCCCAAACTCTATACTCATTGCCTGTATGCCTTTCCATCATCTTTTTGCAAAATGTAGAGACAGATTATTTACAGAAAAGGAGGTAAAGGGGTTAAACTGATTAAAGTACAATATATTTACAGGTAAAATACCAGGGCAAAAGTCCACTGAAAAATGGAACAGTTAAACAACGAAGGACAGAAATGTAAAACAGGTCATGTTAAGGAGGGTAAGAGTGGGAGGGAGAGGGTCAATGAAGAGGATAAAGGAGGGTGAATATGGTTGAGGTACTTTTTTTTTTTGGTGGTACTAGGGATTTGAACTAAGGGCCTCACACTTGCTATGTAGGCACTCTACCACTTGCCACTGTGCCAGCCCTTTTTTTCTGTTGGGTGTTTGCAGGGTCTTGTGGACTATTAACAAACTATTTGCTCCGACCAGCTTTGAAACATGATCCTTCTGATCTCTGGTTCCCAAGTAGCTAGGATTACAGGTGTGAACCACTGGTGCCTGGCTGAGGTACTTTCTATAAATGTATGACTATGAAAGATTGAAACCTGTCAAAAGTCATTTTAAGAAGGGGGAGGGAGAAGAGAGAGAGTGAAGGTGATGGACCAAACTGGGGTATAATACAAAACTGACAAAGTCAAAATGAAATACCTGTAGATTTTGGCTGACAAAAATCCACAACTAGTGCTAGCAGAGTGGCTCAAGTGGTAAGGTGGTCTGCCTTGAAAGCGTAAGACCATGAGTTCAAACCCTAGTGCCGTCCAGCACCCTCCCCCGACAAAAAAAACCCCACAAAAATGGTATTTATCTACATGAAGACTTTTCAAAATTATTTATGGGATAACAATAAAATACTAATTTTTGCCAAATTACAATAGTTGACATTTAAGAAATCTTGTAGGACTGGTGGAGTGGCTCAAGTGGCAACTAGACCTAGCAAGTGTGAGGCTCTGAGTTGAAGACCCAGTACCACAAAAAAAAAAAAAAAAAAATTCTTGTGAGCTGGGATGTAGCTCAGTGGTAGAGCACGTGCCTAGTATTCAAGGCCCTGGGTTTGATCTCCAGCACTATAAAAGAAAGAAAAAAATCTCGGCAAGAATAAGATGAATGGGCATCTATAGACCAGCTCCTGAGGAACTTATCCAAAATGCAGAGAAAAGTCAAATTCAAGGATTTCATTGTGCATTATTTGTAATAAAAGAGAAATTGGAAACAACCTATACATCCAGCAAATATAAGAACAGTAAAGTAAATTGAGGTACAATATAGTTGGCAGCCAGTAAAAATAATAACCTGAAGAATTACTAAAAATATGGGATAAGGAAATGTACTCCTATTACAACATTAAAAGAATTTAAAAAAGCAAAATTCAGAATGTAAGTTCTTCACACTATGATGTCCTCTGTTATATTTATGTAATAATTGGATTGGTAAGTGTTTTTGGTTTTGGTGGTACTGGTGAATTTAAACACACTTGCTAGGCAGGCACTCTACCACTAGAGCCACTCCACTAACCCTGTTTTATGTTGGGTATTTCTGAGATAGGATCTTGTGAACTGTTTGCCTGGGCTGGCTTCAAACCACAATTCTTCTGATCCCTTGCTTCCTGAATAGCTAGGATTATAGGCATAAGCCACCAGCACTCAGCTTTGTTTTGTTTTGTGGTAGAACTGGGTTTGAACTCAGGGCTTTGTGCTTGCAAAGCAGGCTTAAGCCACACCTGCAGTCCACTTTGCTTTGGTTATTTTGGAGATGGGGTTTGTTGAACTAATTGCACAAGCTGGTCTAGAACTCACAATCCCTACCCGAGTGCTGGGATTACAGATGTGTACCACCATACCTGGCTTGGATTTCTGTTTAAACAAGATGACTCTGGCTAAACATCTAAGTAAGTGATCCTTCTGTCTCAGCTTCCAAAGTAGCTAGGACTGCAAGTGTTTGCCTTCACTTCTTAGGTCAGTACCAGTTCTGAACTGGCACACTGAGCATCCATAACTTAGTGAACAGCACCATGGGTTACTTATTTGTACACACGAATTAAATTGTGAACTGATTGAGGGCAAATGCCTTGTGCATTCATGTCTGTTTACATAGCCCTGAATTTGTTTTTGAATAAATGAATGAATGCATTACTACAAATAGATTTCAGAAATAAAAGCATATTGGTTTTCTGAATGTGAGGCACTTACAGGCTAAAAGTGTTTGCTGACATACTTTTTTTAATGTGTGGTACTGGGGTTTGAATTCAGGCCCTCACACTTGCGAAGCAGGTGAGCTACCACTTGAACCACCCCTCCAGCCTTGTTTTGTGTTGAGTTTTTTCAAGATAGGGTCTCATGAACTATTTGCCTTGGGCGTCTTTGAACCTCGATCCTCCGGATCTCTGTCTCCTGAGAAGCTAGGATTACAGGCATGAATCTCCAGCACCTGGCTTCATGACATACTTTTAAACAACCTGTAATCCAAGCACAAGATAACGTTGTCACTCTGGAGGGGAAAGATGAACACAACTCACTGTGAACACACACACACACACACGAGGCTGATGGAGTGGCTCAAGTGATAAAGAATCTGCCTAGCAAACCCTAATACCTTCAGAAAAACTTTAGTAAGTGCCTGTCATAGATTAAGTGCTCAGTAAATGGTAGTATTATTATTATACCTATTATTTTATAAGGACCACAGAGGCCTTTAAGAAGCTGAGTGAGAGGAGAGGGAGGAAGGGAAGAAAACAAAAAAAAAACCAAGTAATCTGTTCAAAGTAACTGATATTTAACTATTCTTCAGGCTCAAACTTATTCCTTCTAAACTTCCAGACTCACAAAATAATCTATTAATTTTATTGCTAGAAAAAAACATACACTCTGTAAGAAAGGAAAGGGAGGAACCAAGAGCAGTAATGAGAAAACAGGGAAATCTAACAATTAGGTAGTTTCTAATTCTAATAACTCATTGACTTTCTGATATGCAGATTTGTCTAAATCTGAATAACATACAGTACTGCCTAGGCCCTAATGAGCCCAGCCTGAACTGGAAATCAAGCTGCAGGAGCTGGTGGGTTGAGACATCAGCTTCTTGACACTGGTAATACTACCTAGCCCATACCCATTGTCATGAGAATCCCAGAGAGGCAGGTTATTAAATAAAACAAGCAGAGAACATGGGCGGGAGAAAATTTGCAGGACAAGAAGCACAAGGTAAGGTCAACAGCTACAGCAATGTAATGTCAGGGTAAAATGCACTAGACTAGGAGTCAAGGTCAGAGTTCAAGTCTTAGGTGGGCAAGAGGATTGAAAGTTTGAGACCAGCCTGGGCTGATTGAAGTCCACTCTATCTCAAATCTCAAAAAGCCAAAAAACCAAAAACCAAAATGAAACTTTGCTCTTTCCTTCTTATGTTTCCTATTCTCTATATCTATCTATCTGCCTGCCTATCTATCTTTTATGATGCTGAAGGGTAAACACAAGGCCTTGTACATGCAAGGTAAGTGCTCCAATACTGAGCTTCATTCCTAGCCATAACTTTTTTTTTCCTGGCGGTACTGGGGTTTGCCTAGCCCTAACTTTCTGAGACAGGTCTTGCTACCCCAGCCTGGCCTTAAACTCAAGGTCCTCCTGCCCTAGCTTCCTGAGTAGCTGGGATTACAAAGTTGAGCCACCTTGCCCAACTTCTTGATTTTTTTAATGTACTCTTTTTTTTTTTTGCTTGTACTGGGGCTTGAATTCAGGGCCTACACCTCCACACCTTGAGCCACTCGACAAGCCCTTTTTTGTGATGGTTTTTTTTTTTTTTTTTTCATTTTTCTTTTATTATTCATATGTGCGGTTTTTTTTTTTTTTTTGAGATGGGGGTCTCTTGAACTATTTGCCTGGGCTGCCTTCGAACTGCAATTCTCCTGATCTCTGCCTCCTGAGTAGCTAGAATTACAGGCGTGAGCCACCACCACCCAGCTTTTAATCTACTTTCAAGTGAAGCAAATCATACTTAAGAAGGGAATCAGAGTAATTCCTGGGCAAGATCTCATATAATATAGAAAAAGGACAAAATTCTGAAATCGACAGCTTTAAATATGAGTTCAAGCACTCACTAATTACATGACCTTGGGTAAGTTATTTCAATGCTCTGTTTTCTCATTTGTAAAATGGACAAAAGACTTGAATCTCTCATATATAAGGTTAATAATTTGATAAAATATGCATTTCCTAGGCTATTTTTTCTACTATTATTTTACTATTGCTATTATTAGTTTACTAATACTACTAAAGGTTACACTAATAACAACATGGAAAGGACCAAAAACACAAATGGTTTCAAAAGTCCCATCTAGCTCTAAAAATTAGGATTTTACTCTGTTGCTAATGATTACCAACTTTCTTTCTTTGATAATCTTGTAAAACTGTAACATGAGAGACCTAAAAGACACTCTCCCCAACAAAATACATTCCTAAAAAGTCACTCTTGGAAAAATACTGTCAAAAGGTAAGAAGGATCATTTTTTATTGAACGGGATGACCTTAACATTTGCTTTGCTGTTTCTTCATATGTGGTAAACATAGACAAAACCTGAAGTAGACTATAAGCCAATCCTAATAACCTCTATGTTTGGGGATACCTTAAAATCTTTAAATATGCATCCCTGATTTGGACTCTGGCCAAGTACATGATACAGGAGGGGTATTAACACTTGGTGCAAACCTGTTCTATTAGTTACTATGAGAAACAACTCCAGGTACCTGGGATCTAGCAGACCTTGCTCTACTCCCCAGGCCATCTCTCTCACAGCATTGGTGATCTCATGACGGGATGTATATGCAAAGCAGATATTGAGGAAACACCTGAGAGGGCAGAACAGAATAATTTATTAAGGTGGGAGCACGGACTGGAGATTGGATCTCTGATTAGAGCAGCCCATCCTTGAAAGGACACCGCCCCCGCCCCACCCCGAGTGTTAACTGTACATACTTCTCAAAGGTAAGAAGTATGAGGGTTTTTTTGTGATTTCCAAGATTTCTTTGAATAAACATGTTACTAGTTTTAAAAGACAAATATTAAATGGCTCTTATTGCCTTATCCCTCTCCCCTTCTACTGCCAACCAGCTTACAGCGGATGTAAATCCACTGTGATATTAGCACAAGCAAAGAACAAAGGAAGGAGACCTGATACAAACATACTGTCAAGCATATTCCAAAGCCATACATAATGAAGTTTGGATTGCTGAACTCTATTTCTCTCAGCATTTGTACAACCTCCCAAGGTCATACTGTCCATGGGTTAAAAGAGTGGGATAGAAAAATAATTTCTTTTAGGACCTGTCTTTAGAGACAAGAATTAGGGCTCCTGCATTCCCACTCCAACTCCTGTCAAGTTAAAATATATGTATAACTCAGGGACTCCAGTCATCAAACACACACACACACACACACACAAATTTGGGGGAGGCAAAAATAAGAAAGTGTATTTACACACAGACATAACATGGTAGTACAGTAGCATGCCCTACAGACGGAAGGAGGAAACTCCTGTCTCTAAGCACCTCAAACTGCCCTCATTGCCCCTTCTATCAGACACAGACCAAGGGAGGCTCCTGATGGCTCCCTAAAATCAGAAGGGAGTCAAAGATTGATACAACTCCCTGAGGGAAAATCTGAGAACTTACCTGTTGTAAGTCTTAGTGGCCTGTACACCTTGTGCAATCAGCTCCTGAAGGTCTAAGGGCAACAAATGTAGATCACCCAGGACCCGGACACACACCCCATATTTCTTCAGCTTCTCCCTGATCAGTGAAAAAAGAGGCAGCATTAGGACAGAGCATCTCCTGAGTCAGAGATGGCAAGGTGCTGAGATAAGAACCAATAATCAGTTTCTGAGTGCTTTCCTACATCAGGCATTGTCCTCAACACTCTGAAAGGAGTATGCTACAGCACCGAGCCTCAGATAGGTTATCGATAGAGATGGTCTAGATATTATATGCTGTGTTTGATGTGAACTCCAGGTCTGTCTCCCTTGAGAACTTGTGACCACAAATTATACCACCTGTTGGCAAGCTGGATTTTACATACTCTATGATATGTCTGTCCCATTTTGACAAGGAAGTAAACTGCTCTAGGGCAGGATCTGTATTATTTGTTACTTTTGTTATATTCTGATGAAATATGAAATAATGACATCTAACATTAATTATATGTTCCTAGGTGCCAGACAGTGGTCCTTAGACCATGTGCATGCTTTACATGTACTAATACATTCCTATCCTTATACAACCTAAGAAGTACATACCATAATTAATCCTGTTTTACAAATGAAGAACCTAAAGTATAGGGAGGTTAGATAATTTGTTCAGACAGCTGGTAAATAGACAGGCAAGACTTGAACCAGGCAAGTCTAGCTACAGAGCCTGTCCTCTTAATCATATTACAGTGTTTCCATACCGTAACTCCCAAACTGTACTCATGGTAAGTGAATACACTGTTACCTACCCAGCTTCTCTCACTGGGAATGCTATGCAGAAACTAAATGCTTCAAGGTTGGAAAGTGGAAGCTTAATTGTATGGTGCATGGATCTCTGGCAAAGCCTGAAGAACCTTGATCCAGAGCCAAAGGCCACATCCATAGGCTGTCAACCCTATGTAAACTTTGAGTACACTTCTTCAAGGTTTGTGAAGCAAAATCTAATCATCTAAATTTGAGACCTTACTGCAATTGTAGAAGACAAATGTATAGTCAATTCAAGGCAAAATTTGAATAAGTCCACCTTGTTTTCAGTCCTAATACTTCCACTTACTAGCTGACCATGTGTATTAGCTTCTTTGAGCTCAGTATTTACGTACCCCTTTATCCCCCCATATCTGTAAACTGGAGATGACCTCCATCCCTGCTTGACTTTTGTCAAGTGAGAATAGGCACATAAGAGTTCTTGTTCTCAGACAACAGATGCAGGACTTTGATCTATGGAAATGGAGCTGTAAAAGCCCTGGAGGAACAAGCAGACTGAGTTCTGAACTTGCTCTGTCACCAGTTGCTGTGGCCACAGGCAAGCCCTTCTCTTTTTATCATTAAGGTTTAATTTCCCAACCGATGAAATCAGACTAGGCAAGGATTTGTGAAACTTTCTTTTAGCCAAAGAATTCTTTCTTCAAATCAATCCCATACAGAAGGCCATTACATAAAATAGACAAAAGTAAACCAATGCCCTCACTGCTGCTGGGTTCGTTTCTTAAATGCCACTCCTCAGAGCTCTGGGATTGTGTGTTATATTGTTGGAAAGTACCTCTTCAGTTGCTTCTTGTTCTGCCAGGACCTCTTAAGACTGTTTTCGCTACTACTGACTGATTAGAGCAATCTCAGTAGCACCTCTATTGTCATGTATTTTTGTTTGTTTTTGTCTTTTTGCTATTATTGCTTTAAATTTACTTATTAACAACACTGGGTTTGAACTTGAGGTTTCACACTAGTTAGGCAGGCACTCTACCACTACAGCCACACCTCTAATCCTTTTTTAAAAAAATTTTTTTGCAATACTGGGGTTTGAACTCAGGGCCTACACCTTGAGCCACTCCACTAGCCTGTTTTTGTGATGGGTTTTTTTCAAGATAGGGTCTCAGACTATTTGCCAGGACTGGCTTCAAACCGAAATCCTCCTGATCTCTGCCTCCTGAGTAGCTAGGATTACAGGTGTGAGCCACGGGCACCCGGCCCTTGTTTGTTGAGACAGCGTCTCACTATGTACTGAAGGTGGGCCTGAAACTCACTATGTAGCCCAGGCTGGCCTCAAAGTCACAATTATTCTGCCTCAGCCTCCAGAATTAACATCACCACCATGCCTGGCTGTCAAAACGTTTTGATGTTGCAGCAATTTTAAGAATTGCTTCCTGGGGCCAGGTACTTGTGGCTCTCACCTATAATATTAGCTACTCAGGAGGTAGGGATGAGGAGGATTGTCGGTTGAAGCCAGCTTGGGCAAACAGTTCACCAGACCCTATCTCGAAAATACCTATTAAAAAAAAAAAAAGGGGCTGGTGGAGTGGCTCAAAGTGAAGGCCCTGAGTTCAAGCCCAAGTACCACAAAAAAAAAAAAAAATTGCCTCCTGGGACTGTGAATATGGCTCAATGGTAGAGTCCTTTCCTAACATGCTTTTAAAAAAAGAATACCTCCTATTTCTAGGTGCAGTGACACCTCAGTTCTGAAGACAAAATGGCCCAGGGCATTTTGTTAAGAATATACATACACCAGAATTTATGCCTTAACTGCTCTGGTTTTTACTTTCTTCTTCTCTAAAATTGGGCTAATAATAATATCTTTCTCATGGAAAATGTAGCTACTAATGAAAGTACACTTAGACTAAGGGCCTGACACATAGTAAGCACATAAGAAGGTAAGATTAGTGTATATACAGAAGAATTCGAACACTTGGGATGTACCCCTTATTCCTTGATCCCCAGCCTCCTGGGTGTGAGACCTGAGACACACAAGCACTGGCAGAAACCAAGGAGCAATATCTGTGGCCCAGGATCTTACCATCCTAGACAGAGGGAAGCCTGGCTGCTCTCCCACCACTCTGATGCACATACAGACAGCAAAGAGAGAAACAGTTTCCTACAACTCTTCTGGAAACCTAGGCTGTTCTCTCATATTCCTAGTCCTAGTGTGGGTTAGGAGCCGAATGTACAACAGTTGAATAAAGGCTTCTAAGCAACTCCTGACTAGAGACAACTAATGTTTTGAAGCAAACAATCTCCATCAAACTTCTTCCGTGCCTCTTTCCAGCTTTCTTCCCTAAGTTAAATGTAAACTTAGTGACTGCTAAGAACAGTACTGACACTTCCCCACTGAGGTCTTTTATGTATCATCCCAAACCTTCCAAGAGACTATGCAGAGGAAGTTTAGTAACTTTGTAGGGATCCAGGTGCAACAGAAATGACTTCCACATGTTTCCTTTCATTGCCCTGGCCATAATTTATTGGTTCTCAGGCAGAAATCTGATCAAAGGTGGGCCAATTAAAGCATTTAGTTCATTCTGGACTGTTATTGTGAAGTAGAGGAGTGGTCTATAGAGAGAGGAAGAAGTAAATATATGAAGAGGCTCTGCCAAATGGATTTTAATTCTTGGTTTTAGTTTTGTTTGAGGCTGGCTGTACTTGTCTTTAAATTCTGTGAAATACCTCAACATCCTAAATAAATGCCACATTAAAAAAGAAAAATTGCAGGGCACTGTTGGCATATGCCTATAATCCTAGCTACTTGGGAGGCTAAGATCAGGATGATTGTGGTTTGAGGCCAGTTGGAGAAAATAGTTTTGTGAGACTCCATCTCCAAAAAATAACCAAAACAAATGGACTGGAAGTGTGGTTCAAGTGGTAGAGCACCTGCTTTGTGAGTATTAGCCTTGCAAGTGTGAAGCCCTGAGAACAAACCCCAGACTCACCAAAAAGAAAACAAAATTTAGCTTGCATTTTTGATATTTGCCACCAAAGAAATCTAAAATTAACAGGATTTAAGAGACCCTTTAATAGGCCTCTGATAACAAAACTGTGAGGGCTAAGGAAAGGTGGAGGTTGTGGAAGGATATACTCTCCCTATGGACAGCATCTTACTGTTCTTCCATCAAGCGTTGTAACTTGTTCCGGGTCAGATCCAGTAGCCCGTCCACCTCATTCTTGGGACGTTTGAAGTTCTCAATGCTGAATGCATACACAGTCACCTCTGGGATGCCCAGGTGCAAACACCAGCGCAGAGTCTAAGAGGGGAGAAGGCAAAAAGCTAGGATACAGGAAAGAGTGGGGAGTTGGAGATGGAAGACAGACTGTTCTCCTCCCCAAACCTGGGCAAAGCTAAGATAATGTCAGTGCTATGTCAGAATAATTCACCAAACACACAGAAAGCCACCATTTAAAAAACTGAAAAATGTGATCTTAATAAAGACCACTTTACTGATGCTGTTGTTGTTTACCTGAAAGAACCCTTCACTGAGAATATAAAGATCTATATTCCAGACTGTGAGTCCAACATGGCCTTGTTATATGGAACCATAGGCAAAATAGTTGGCTTTGAGTTTATCTATAAAAACGGGATCACAATTCTATCCCTGACAAGGTGGCTAACAAACAATATAAAAACACGGAGTATTATTACTCAGTAATAACTTCATCATTCTGGTAGGTTGAAGGGCTGGTAATTTAAGAGAATAAAAGCAACAACTGGATAGCTGGATAGCACTTCATAGTTGGTAAAGGATTTTCACAAATGTTATTTCATTTTCCAAACAACCACTTAAAAGTGGTATTTATTGCTTTAATCACTATTTTATGGATGATAAAAGAGGCTCTGAGAGTTAAAAAACCATATTAAAAGTCTGTAACTTCTGGGAGTCACAGTCTGTAATCGTAGCTATTTTGGAGACTGGGGCTGAGAGGACTGCAGTTCAAAACAAGCCTAGGGAAATAATTCAAGAGACCCCCATCTCAAAAAAAAAAATAACCAGAGTAAAATGAACTGAAGGTGCAGCTCACGTAGTAAAGCACATACTCTTCAAGCTTCTGCTTTTCCCATACGAAGCCCTGAGTTCAAACTTTTGTCTACCAAGTACAGAGTACAGCTTACATGAAATAGTTAAGACCCTGTCTCAAAAACAAAACAAAACAAAACAAAAAACCAAGCCAAAACAAACCTATAACCTGTAACTTGGGGGCTGAGAATAACAATGTTGGAGTTGGGGAGCTGGAGGTTAAAAGAACAGAAGACATTCAAACAGACTAAAAGAAACAAATCTACAGAGCCACCTCTCTGATCCTTTACAGATATGCACATGAAAAACATCCACTACCACCTTAGAAAAATACCAGTTAGAACTTGGTACTTGAATAGGCTCAGGCTCTAAAGACTTTGCATGGCACATCTGGGTTGGAACCCACTGCTAAAACAAGTTTAAGTTGTTTGAAAACTTCCTTTTCAAAAAACTGCTTTTTATTGTGCCATCTTACTTAATCTTCATATATGTCCTAGAATAGATTGTTGCTAATTTTGTTTTACAGAATAAACTGAGGCAAAGGGAAGCTACCTAACTTACAGGAGGTCACAGAGCCAGGAAAAGCAGAGTAAGGATGCCAATGAGTTCTTTCTTTCTTCACAAGAGGTTAAGAAACTTGCCTACATCAATTAGGTCTTAGTGACTCCAGAGCTTAAGTTTCAAGCAATAGAAAAATATTGCCTTTTACTTAATTACAAAAGAGAAGCAAGGGATTTGGTCGAGTGCCTGAAGTGGTAGAGCATCTGCTAAGCAAGTGTGAGGCTCTGAGTTCAAACCCAAGTACTGCCAAAAAAAAAAGAGAAAGAGAAGCAAGGATCAATAAACCTAAAACTATCCACAGAATACTGAGAGAATTCCACTGCCAACTGCTCAAGGAAAAACATATTACTGTCCTGGCATCAGGGCATGTTCTTGTGCCAGAAAGCTGGGATCTGTGGGCTGCATATCGTATTTCCATTCTTTTTTTGAGGTACTGAGGTTTGAACTCAGGGACTATGCCTTGAGCCACTCCACCAGTCCTTTTTTTGTGATGAGCTGTTTTGAGATAGGGTCTTGCAAACTATTTGCCCAGGCTGGCTTCGAACTGTGACTTCCTGATCTCTGCCTCCTGAGTAGCTAGGATTACAGGTGTGAGTCATCAGCGCCCAGCTCCATTCTTCTTAAAAGTCACTTAACACAAAGGGCTATGCTTATCTCAGTGGTAGACCAAGTGCTTAGTACCGGTGAGGTACTGGGTTCAATTCCCAGGACCAAAAAAAATATATATTTTTTTTCACACAGATTGTATTGTTCAATTCTTATTGTTAAATTTAATGTTTCTCAGGGACTGGAGGTGTGACTCAAGTGGTAGAGCACCTGCCTAGCAAGCATGAAGCCCCAAATTCAATATCAAGCACCATCCCTTCTTCTCCCTAAAAAAGAATGTATTTAAATTTAATGTTTCCCAATTTGCAATATGCATTAAAACCAAAAAATGTTCATGATCTCTGTGTAGAGTGATGTTCTGATTGGCCTAGCAATTTCCCATTTTAGCATTTAAAGATCTGCGTCCTGAGAAATCCCTCAGCCTTGGCAAGGCAGAATGGATACTCACCCAAACTTTGCTCCACAATGTCACTTCTAAGTATTTATCCTAAAACATTACTATTTAACTTTTTTTAATTAAAAAAAATTTTTTTGAGACAGGGTTTTTCACTATGTAGTCCAAACTAGTCCTGAACTCATAATCCTGCCTTAGCCTCCTGATTGCTGAGATTACAAGTATGTACTACCACACTGAGCCAGTTAGGGCCTGGGGACATGGCTCAAGTGGTAGAACGTCTGCCTAGTAAGCACAAAGCCCTGAGTTCAAGTGGCAGTCCCACCCTGCCCCCAAAAAAGTACTACTTATAATGTCCAATTACAGAGGAGACCCTACATAAATTATGTGAGATTATTATGATAAAATCTTCTATGTCATTTCAACATATAGTTAGAAAGGCTATGCATCAATTTAAAAAAATACTTGTTAAAATGTCAACTGAAAATAAAGTTAGAGCTTTGGACACAATTTTATAAATGTTAAGGCATGCAAGACATACTATAAGAATGAATGAGGCATAGAATAATAATGATTTATTAAGGAAATAGGCAATTTCATTCTTATTTCTAATATTTTGTGATGTTTATGATGATTACTTTTTGCTTAATGTCAATATGTGACCTATAACTAGAAAGCAAGTAATAAAATAGAGAAATGATATTCATGGTGGTGCACATCTGTAATCTTTGTACTCAGAAAGCAGAGGCAGGGCGTTTACGAGTTTGAGGCCAGTCTGGGCTACACAGACTGCATCTCAAAACAAAGGAAATAAGAACAGAGAAACAGCTATTAAAACAAAGAACCTCAGCAACTGCAAATTCAGGGCCTCATTTTCTAGCTATACTCCAATTCTCCACAGATTGTTCACTTTGGGTTCTGCCACACACACCCACCTCAGCCAGTTTGTTGAAGCCCTGTGAGTGTCCCTCCTGCTTCTGCACCTGGCACTTTTTGGCATAGCGACGGTTTCCATCCATTATGAATGCAATGTGTTTGGGCACTGGGCCCGCCTGTCAAATAAGAAGACAGTAAGACTAGTGGTGAGCCAATATCATACATATGGATAGTTTAAATTTAATAATAAGTTTTGACACAAGTTACCCAACTGTCCAAAAGGCCAACTGGTGCTCTGGGCCACTGCTCACCTTTAGGATGTTGACACCTAGCCTTTCCCAAAGTGACAGCTCTCCTTCCTTGATCCAAGACATATTTCTTGCTTAGTTAGAAGGCCACCCTAGAACAAGTCACCAGCCAGGCAACCTTGGAGAAACGAAAAAGAAAGTAAGTCGCTAGCGCTTGCAAATAGCTACAGCTGACTTCTTAAGAGACCGTGGAAAGCAGCCAGAATCAGAATCCAAAAACACCGAGCTAATCTTTACACAGAAGCTGTAGAAGCCAGTGGGATCTTTTAGGCAAGAAGCCTTTGCTTGGTTCTCCTGGCTTCGTGGACTTTCCTCGTTATTTGAATATCCGTTTCCTGCTACATCATGGTGCCTACATCTTAAAAATTCCTCACATCTTCCTTCTCCATCTTCCGCCAAGCCATTTCCCACTCTGCGTTTCCCAGTCACTACCTCTTCTGCTGTCGCACCCGTTACCTTATTCTTCAGTGGTCTCTTAATCATCTATTCTCTTATTTGTACCTTTAATTCACCCGCAGCTGCCTCCTCCAGTCACTGGCCCTTCGGTTCTGTCCTTCCGCCCAGCACCTGCGCGGCTCCGCTGCGACTACTGCAACTATTCCCGTGCGCCTACACTTCCTCACAACCAGGCGCTGAAAGAATACGTAATCTTTGGGCACTGGGACCGCCCCTTCCGTCAATCAGTAGGCGGAGTCTCGCCTTGCGCTTTGGGTTAGGGGCGGAGCAGCGCGAGGGCTTGGAGTCCGCCATTGGCGTACGCTCTCGCGGGGCGTGGCATGGAAACTGAGGAGGCCGAGCTGACTGGACCAGCTGAGGAGCTGGTTGCTGAGAGTGGGATCCAGCTCAACAGCCGGAACGCCGAGTTGGGAAAATCCAGATGGGGAAGGCACTGGAAAACGTGCTGTGGAAATGTGTCACAGGGCAGGAATTGAGAGCCCACGTCAAAGTGGGGGACTTATCTACCACTGACGGCAGTTCCCCGTCACGGTCCTACCTTGGGAGGCCCCAGAACTGGGTTTCTTCGGAAGCCCTCCAACTTACGTCTCAAAAGTTACATTTTGGTCCAGGCGCACTGCTTCATCTGTAATTCCGGCTATGAGGGACGCCATAGGTAGGAGGGTTTCAGTCATTGCTTCTCCCCCACCCCCCACCCCGAAACCGCCACACTATCCGAAAAATAAGCAAAAAACTGGGTGGGGACGTGGTTCAAGTAGCAGCGTGGAGGCCCTGAATTCAAGCCCTAGTTTAAAAAAAATCATTCTTGCTGTATTGCTTATTTAGTGGACTTAATAACTTGGTAAAAAACCCCTCACCTGGTAACTCTACCATATGTAATAATCAGTCCATTTGGACTGATTTATGGCACCCAGATTTTGCAGATTCCCATGACCCACTTAGATGAACTCAAACAAGGAAGGTCAGAAACAGCTTTACTGCAAGAATCTAGGGTCGGGAATGTAGCTCAGTGATAAAGCACTTGCCTAGCATGTACAAGGCCCTGATTTCAATCCCCAGCACCAGAGAGGGAAAATAAAACTTCTAAATGACAGAAAGTCCGTGATTACCAAAGTGAAAAATCAAGGGGATTAGCATGTATCAAATCTTGCTCCACTTCTAGGTACTCAAAGAAATTACTAGTTACATTTCTTCAGAAGTAAAAACCATAAAACTTTCAGTATCTGGTGCAACCAGCGTTTCTTTCAAAACAGAAGAACGTTTTGAATTTCACAATCCCCTCCCCCGCTTACTGGGTTTTGAAAGCATGGCTTTGTGTAGGTAGCTCTACCACTTGACCCCAAACCTGCAACCCACGATTTACAATTTTCAAAGTAACTTTTACCTCACTTTTCCCTGCAGTCTCAAAAGATATAGAACAGGGAAGAGAGGTTGCCCTGATTTCTACACTTTCTAATGAGAGGGTTATTTTAAAGAGAGCAACCTGATTGAACAAAGCCCTGGGGAGAAGTAACCCACCCATCAATAGTCTTGCAATGTTGCCAGTTTGAGAATTTGTTTTCTTGCACTTTGTACTAATAACTGATTTGCCTCTGATCAGATATTTTCCTTTTAAGATCTTCTTTTAGGAGGAAGATCTTTGCTAGTCTGTTAGAAGGCTAGCAAACTTCAGCTCAAAAGTTGGTTTAGTCAATGAATCTCCTTTGGCCTCAATTTCCCCTTACATATGGCACTTTCCTTCTTGGGGTGCTACAAGGGGTTAATTAAGATTTGTAAAGAGCTTTGAAGAGTAGGGGACAAAGTATTACTAGGGTCTCATGCCCCAAGCCATGGCCCCATCCTTTCATCCCAGCCAGTGGCATAGTCAACCCCATTCTTATGCATGCCAAGCCTCTAATCCCCTCTTGAATGTGGCAGCTTCCAAGGAAGGAACAAGAGGCCTTAACTACAAACAAAAATCCACTGTAATGAGGTGCTAGGAGGACTGAACTTCCAAGATTCATTCCTATAAAGTGATGAATTTAAGGTTCTTCTGTGACTTTGGAGTCCCAATCCAAGAAGGGAAAAACAACCTAAGTATCTGACAAGAGAACAGTCTAAGTATCAATAAGTCTTTATTTATTCATTGTATTTTCCCAGGGAAAGGAAAAGGGAAGGGAAGAGTCAGCATGTGTTACAAAATGATTAGAAAATGGGAAAGGAAGTACAGCAAAATCAACCTTGAAGTAAACACCCCAGTGATGGGGTCACCAAAGCCCAAGGGGCTTAGTTTCCTGCAGTTCAGGAAAGAGAAGGGATCAGGGAAAGGACAGACAGGTACACACTTTCCCACCCTCCCTCCTTCCCCATAAATTCAAGATTTTTCTCACAAAGCTTTGGTTTCTAGCAGTAAACATGGAGTTACATTCGTCCGTCTCCTATTAAACAATCTTGTGGCTGCTTTGACATAAGTTTCTTGCACCTGCATAAAAGTTCCTGAGTGACTTGAATGTACATTCATATTGCCTTTCCTGGTTTCCTGACCCGGCTTTCTACATGGGAAGCCCCTCAACTGCTTCTCTCTAGGATTACAGATAAAGTAGGCTTGATCCATTGAAACAGCAGGTTTCATGTTTGGCAAGAATCGCATGAGAAATGGTCCTGACTCAGGAGGTTGGAAATAAGGGGAGAGGGCTCCTAGCTTCTTCCGAATTTTTGCATAAATCATTTGGAGATGTAGAGACACTTCAATAATTAAATGTGTATGGGCATGTAGGTTTCCTTTGGAGGTAGAAGAGCTAGGTAGGATAGGAGTCATTTTTAGGACAGAAAATCCGATCCAAAATGTAAAAGGGAAAAGAGAGTACAAAAGAAAAAGATGGTTCAAGATCCTCACTTTAAGAAGAGGGCCCCCTAAACTTGTGTTTCAGATGCTTTTGTCTGGTGCAGAACCTTCTGTCAAAGATGCTTTGGCTATTTTTCGCTCAATACAACAAGTTTGTAAACAATAAACCCCAAAAGAACATGAAGACCAACACATTATATTTATACAAACTAGGCCACCTAGCAGTCGACAACTCAGAGACTCAGTAAAATCCTACAAAGCCCAGACAAATACAATTACTAGAGGGGGCAGCATTTGGGGGAAACAAGAAACCAGGATCAGACACACACCACCCAATGTGTTCTATTGCATTTGTCCCATTTCAACACAGTGAGGTAGGTTTGCGGTGATCTCACAGCATGTAAACGGAAACCCCCTTTTCTCCTTTAGCTACCACAACACTATTAACCACTACTGCAGCAGGGTAGGACACTGGCTCCGGGCGCCACAAAGAGGTCCTTGCTTATGTGTCTCCCTGAAAGCCAAGAATTTTGAAAGGCTAAGGATTTGGGTCCTTGCTTCATATATCCATCCCTGAGGAGTACAGGGTGGGCACAAATATATTGGTCTTGAAACTCAGCCTTACCAACTCACATTTAAAAAAAAAAATACACACCCTATTGTGCATGGTAGACCTGGGCTAATCCAGTGAAGGATGGATTGGTATGGAAAGCAAGACCCTTGCCCTAAGATTAGACAATCACCACCCAAACTTGGCTTCCTCTCTGAGCCTTTCACCTGGCCCAGCCTCTCCTAACTTCTGAACATTTCCTGTTTAAACTAATTTCCAATCTTCCAGCAGAACGAGATCAAGTCATGGGGCAACCCAATTAAAACCTAGTCTCCCATGAAATATTTTTAAGGTGAACGGGGTTTCAAGAGGACACTATGGCAGAAAAGCCAGCTCTAATTGGCAAAATGAGGTAGTTCAATAGGCTGTGCACTCCTAATGGTTGCTCTCCATGGTGATAAAAACAACAAAGTATTCCTGCTGTGCAGACCTGGAGCTGCTGCCGACTTATCCCTGAGATTGCTCATGTACCTGAGAACACAGTGCAGGAATGAGGGCCTTAGATTAAAATATACAAAAATACAAAACCAGAATATTTATATTAAGAAAAAAAAGTTAAAATGCACAAGATACGTCATTCGCACACAGATAGTGCAGTTGGCATCCTGGAGAAAGTGGGACCCAAGGTGCAGTTATCCAAGGGAGCAAATAAATAAAATCACATTGGCCCAGAAAGGGGTGAGAGTGAGTTAGGAGCAGCAGGTCTGCAGCCCTTTACCCAACCACCCTTTTGCCTGTCATCATAACCCATTGCTTGAGAAAGTACCCAGCACCATATCCCAAGATTGGGTTATGAGAAAACAAGATGTGAAAAAAGAAAAAAAAAAAAGAAAACAAAACAAAACAAAACAAAAAACCCTGCCTTACTCCTGAGATGCCCTCTCACAGCAGGTAGTAGCTTGTGGGTTTGGTCCATTAATCTGGTCTCACATCTGGATATTACACATCCTTCTTTAAATGGAGTACAATTTCCCAATCCAGGCCACTTATAAAAGCTGGAGTCTTGAGGTGAAGCCTCATATAAAGCATGCAGGTTCTAGGGTGGTTCCCCCCAAAAGCCCTCACTTGCATTTGGATAGCATGATTGGAGTTCCATTGCCTCACCCATTCCCCCCAACAAGAGGGAAGATGGGGTGATGCTGGGAACCCCGGCCTGAGATATGGCAGTGCCAGCTACCCCCTCAACCCCACCCTATCCCCACTTTCTCCACTCTGCTGATTGATGCCTACTCCTTGAAGCTTCCTTATAGAAAAAGAATAGCCCGACCCTAGTGGCTCAATTCTGGGCCTCTGGGAGCAGAGCAGGGCTATGGAGCTCTTCTTCTTCCTCCCGGAAGTAGGCAGGCTTTCCCTGGGAGCTGGGGGCCTGCTGGGCCTTCAATGGACATGAGGCCACCATATGGTTGATGCTTTGGCAGAAGTGGCACTTCTTGGGCTGGGGTGGCAGCTTGCATTCCTTGGCATGATGGTCTAGACCACCACAGTTGTAGCACCTGGAATAAAGCAAGATGGTAAAAGTGAGAGAAATGCATACGAAGAGATCAGAAGCCTCCCCTGAGGACACCTGAGCTTAGTTTGTTAGAATACTTGTGCCTCCTTTCCTAGAGACCAGTTTCCCCACATATAATTAAGGAGAATATGGAACAGGTGATCTCTAAGTCCTTTCCAAATCGAATCAGGTGATCTCTTCAGATTCATGTCAATTTGAAAATACCAAGATAACAAGAAT